CCACATTTGAACTCATTAAAGAAAATAAAAACTGTTTCAGATAAGAAAAGTTGGGCAATAGAACTGTTCAACTACCAAAAATCGGTTGTAAATAAAATTGCACTCGTGGAAGAGAGAAGAACAGGGGCACAATAAAAATATTTGCCATACTTTAATTGTAAATACTCCATCTCTCCTTTTTCTCTTGTGTTGAATATTGTCAGTAATTCAAAGGCGAATCTGTACAGGGCAAGATGCCCTAATAAAGCTGTTTTGTTGTTGTTGTTGTTGACATCCTCAGAGTTTACCAAAGAAGGGTTTAGTTGGAAAAGTGACTAATCTATTTCTATGACCAAAATGTAGGTAGAAAATTTTCCGAGAGTTTATTTTCCACCTGTATAAAAGGTACTCCCGTCAAAACATACTCATGGATAAAACTTAAGGAAGTGGTAGGTCTTTGATTTCACCGGTTCTCTATTTTTTTATAAGGAGACAGGGCCAATTTTGTTCACTCTTGGTTATCTCTCGTGTTCTTCAATAAAGGTCACTATGTATAAAATATAATTCAGAGTTATTTGTATAAATCTTGATATACATGCTAAAGGGTATAACTTCCTTAAGTTTTGTCCATGAGAGGAAATTTTATTTTGAGTTATCGAGTGACTCACAAGTGGAGTCTGTGGACGAGGTTACAAACCGTCTTTTATCGACCGCTACGACCCGCGATCAAATCCCGCATTGGCCATTTTTATAGTAAAAATGTATCCAATAACCCCCCATTTTAAAAAGTCCAATATCACCAGTAGGTACAAGTAACCAAACGGGATTCTGGCAGATCTTTAAGTGCAAACGCCGAAATAGCTTTTTTTTTGCCTATCCCTAGTACACGTGGTACAGACCATGATAATCATGGTGGATAGAAGTTGGCGACTGCTTTTACTGTAAGTGTACCACATGTCTACACATGTGAAAAGCAGTTCGACTTTACACTTACAAATATGCCAGAGCCCCGTTTGGTTACTTGCACTTGTTGATGGGGTTGGACTTTTGCAAGACTCAGAAGCCATTGGAGATTTTATTTTTATAAACAGAAAAAAGTGCCCAATGCGGGAATCGAACCCGGGTCGTAGCGGTCGAAAACTAACGGTTTAGACCATCCTTCCACCGACCCCCATACCGAAATAGTTTTTCCCATATGTAGATATATGGTGCACTTGCAGTTAAAGCCGTCGCCAACTATCCACCATGATTATCATGGCCTGTATCACATGAACTATGGACAATATGATGCATTAGCGCGCCATCTGTGATAAAAAATTGGAACAATTTTAGACGTATATCGATCTTTCTTTATAAATTGAACTATTTTTCTATTGCCCTTAATGCAATAATAAATTAATGAGAGGGCCTGGCTTATTAATGGTAAACCCTCCGATTAAACTGGCGAAACCGCTGTGAGGGTTCACAAATGATGAGCCAGGCCATCCCATTAATTTATCATTGCAGTAAGGCAGTAGAAAATTAAAAAAAAAAGAATCATAAGCGTCTAAAATTGTTTTAATTTTTTTATAACTAGGAATGATAAAAATTGAACAGATATTACTACAGGTTAAAGAGTTGGTTTTCAATTCAACATTTTGGCTTACGAACTTTACAAATAATCTTTCCAACATATAGTATTCTATATACAGTTACGAGCGTCATTCTTCATCTCTTAATCATCAGTCAGTTTTCGTCTCTGTCACCGTTTGCTTTTTTTTGGAATGGCGCCCTCCTACTGGTTGGCTACGCTCACGCCACCTTTGCCCCCCCCCCCCCCCCCCCCCATCATGCATGCCCCCCCCCCCCCACTCGCCTTTTCGTTTATGTAATTATTGTGTTGGAGCGGGTCGCTCCTTAAATAAATGCATATATTAGTTAATAACCAAATGAAATCCTCTCTTTCTTTTTCCCTGTAAGAGACGCCTACGGAAGCCAACAGTACATAGACAGATAAAGCACATAGGCTATAGTTATTAACTAAAATATGCATTTATTTAAGGCGCCAATTTATAATTGTAACAAATAGAATTTGAATAAAAACATTCAATCGGGTAAAACACGGGCGTTGCCCGGGTCATTCGGCTAGTAGTATTATATGTCTTTTCTTTAACCCGTAAATTAAAGTATATTTTCCGAAAACCTATGTATGAAAGACAGCTAAACAATAGAAATACTTCACACATTATAATCGTTTTATATTTATAAAACTTATATTTAAAGACTCAACCTCTAATGAAGGACCACCTGTAGGAGAGCCCAGACATACCCACGTAATATAAACAGCGACTATATACCATACGTGGATTGAATGTGGAAACGCTACCAAGGTATTTATCCCTGAAAGCTATTGACGCAGATAAAATTAGCCTCATAAAATCTCTAATTTACTTTATCCCTTTTATTATCACTCTCTATCATGGAGATTTTACTGCAGTAAAATATACTTTACTGTCCCTTGCCTATACATAAAATATATTTTATATACTTTTATTTTCACTAGAACTCGATTTCTTCTGATAGAGTTTTTTATTGTCGTTTTTATTGGTATTGATGTCTACATTTTCCTTTATCGATAAACCTATATATTGGCTTGAGGTTAATTCGACATATATGTATATATATATTATATTTAATAAAGAAAATGAATGAGCTTTTCTGTTGATTTTGGAATTGTTGAGATAATACTATGGTGATGCAGTCGTGGAAAAATTAATAATAAGTCTTGATCAGAGATTTATTTAATTGAGCTAAGGAATATATATATAAAAAAAAAACATAATTTGGTAAAATTACTGCCTGGCTTAAGGCGTAAGAATAAATAAATGAATAACTTATTTACATAATGTACAAAAGGTTTGAGCCGGCCATTGGGATAAAACAACGAGTTTTTATAGGGGAAGAGTGAACTCTGGCGGTCAATTTAGCATAGTATTTGAATCTATGAAATTATAATTTAAAATAAAATAATATATTTTATATAACATATATATATATAACACAAAGCAATAACGTGCCATCAACATATATAGTCACGACCGTCATGGGCGGGCCGGCCGGCCGGTTCTGTCACGGATGCGCGCGCATCATCATTATGATCATTATCATAATGAAAATTATATTTAAAAAAAAAAGAAAAACATTTTAAAATTAAAAACTTTATTTTAAAAATAAATATATATTTTAAAATAACAGAATATTTTAATTTTCAATAAATTTCATAGATATATTTCATCCAAAAAATAAATAATTTTGATAACTTGATTACTAATTGTTTACTTTGATTACTAATTACCCATATTCTTCTGCTTTTACTTAATATTACCTATTTACTAAAATAATCATTGTATGCAAAAAAAAAACATGCCTCCTAAGAAATATAACTCTGAAGAGGAAAGAAAGGCCGCAGCTGCCCCAAAAAGGCAAAATGCAAGGCAACAAGAAACAGCTGATCAACGCGCTGAACGACTCCAACGAGATTCTGAAGCTAAACGTCTAAAACTAGATAATGAAACAGCAGAACAACGTGCTGCAAGACTTCTGCGTAAAGCTGAAACTTCTAGAAGTCGTATTGAAAATGAAACAGCAGAACAACGTGCTGCAAGACTTCTGCGTAAAGCTGAAACTTCTAGAAGTCGTATTGAAAATGAAACAGCAGAACAACGTGCTGCAAGACTTCTGCGTAAAGCTGAAACTTCTAGAAGTCGTATTGAAAATGAAACAGCAGAAAAAAGTGCTGCAAGACTTCTGCGTAAAGCTGAAACTTCTAGAAGTCGTATTGACAATGAAACAGCAGAACAACATGCTGCAAGACTTCTGCGTAAAGCTGAAACTTCTAGAAGTCGTATTGACAATGAAACAGCAGAACAACGTGCTGCAAGACTTCTGCGTAAAGCTGAAACTTCTAGAAGTCGTATTGACAATGAAACAGCAGAACAAAGTGCTGCAAGACTTCTGCGTAAAGCTGAAACTTATAGAAGTCGTATTGACAATGAAACAGCAGAACAACATGCTGCAAGACTTCAACATGATGCTGAGGCTCACAGCCGATATCGGCGACCGACAATTAGAACTAATGCAATTGATTTGGCTAATATAAATGAAAAAGAAATTATTGAATTTTACTGTGGCCAAATGAATGAAAGTTGCGAATTTTGCAATTCTTTAAATTTCATGGGAGAAAGACCCCCAGATAGAAAATTCTCAGCTTGCTGCCATAAAGGCAAAATAGATTTACCGGAGCAGGATTATCCAGAATACCTGTAAACCTTAATGAATGGCGTTGACCATAATAGTAAAAATTTTATGGAAAATATTAGATCTTACAATAGCTCATTGGCATTGGCATCCATGGGGGCAAACATTGCTACACCTCCAGGATATGGACCATACTGCTTCCGTATTCACGGTCAAATATATCATAGAACTGGAACACTTCACCCAGTAGGGGAACAGCCGCCAAAATTTGCCCAATTGTATCAACATATATATAGTCACGACCGTCATGGGCCGGCCGGTTCTGTCACGGATGCGCGCGCATCATCATTATGATCATTATATCTAATGATAATAATAATAATTATTATTATATTATTATTATTATCCATCATCAACATATATAGTCACGACCGTCATGGGCCGTCTGTTGGGCCGGTTCTGTCACGGATGCGCGCGCATCATCATTATGATCATTATTATTATATTATTATTATCAACATATATCCATATATATATAGTCACGACCGTCATGGGCCGGTTCTGTCACGGATGCGCGCGCACAGGGAGGTCACATGCTCGCCGGCAGCCAACGGGCGCGCGCCGCCGGCATTACGTTATAGATTATAAACACAAGGTAATAAGGCCAAATAAAAAAATAGTGTGCGATAAGGCACAATTTGGATTATCTACTTATATAATTGCCTTATTCTCTCTGTGTGAAGTTCACGGATAGATTTTGGTCAGAATGGATAAAATAAAAAAAGTGTCAAGGGATGGGAATCGAAACACGACCTTCCGCTTACCGGGCAGATGCCATGACCACTAGGCTACCCTGGACATATTTTTCCGTTCACATTTTTATTTTTATATTTTCAAGACACACACAGTTTGGGGCGGGACGTTTCACAAGAGATAAATCCACGGCGCCAATTTATAATTGTAACGAATAGTATTTTAATTGAAACATTTTTAAAATATATACGCACTCGGGTAAAACCCGGGCGTTGCCCGGGCCATTCGTCTAGTCTATATATATATGACATGAAAGCATTAAAACACGAATTTTTCTCTTATACATAAAACAAGTGGTGAAACCTCCCAGCGGTTTCGCCAATTTAATCCACCACACCGCTTCTTTAGAGCTCTAATACTGTATTGGATCATTCTGTTTATATTTGCTACACTGAAAGGTAGAATCTTAGAAATGATATTCAAACAAACTATGGACATAAGCTTCTAGGACAGTAGATTCTAGAACACCACTGATGTGCCAAACCTACCTAATATTTTTTATCGCTGTGAGGACAGTATAAGTTTGATTTATTTGTGAAAAGAAACATTCGTGTCTTAGTGTCTTCATTCGATGTATATATATATAAAATATAAAAAGAAATTTATGTTGATTTTAATTATTTTGAGGATTATGCTATGGTAATGCAGTTGTGGTTAGAATCTTGAAAATTATAATAAAAATAGTAAAAATTAGAAATTGCTTTGATTGAGATTATGGAATATAGAAAACATAATTTGATAAAAGTACTGCCTGGCTTGAGGCGTAAGAATAAAAAATATGAAAAACTTATTTACATAATGTACAAAAGGTTTGAGTCGGCCATCGAGAAACAACAACAATCGGTTTTATATAGGGAAAGTACCGACATCTGGTGGTAGATTTTTTAACAGAGTATTTATTCTATAATTTATAATTTCCAAACAAAATATAATTTTTATATAACATATATATAAAAACAAAATTAGCATTTCCTGACCGCTCACAAGAACATTCTAATTCGCAGAGCGCCATCTAGTGGAACAGAAATCAACTAAACGTTGATTTAGCTTGTTCTCTGATATTCGGCCAAGCCATGAATTTTAGTCGCAGTGGTACAGCCTGCTCTACACTGACGAATGCCAACAGATTCTAGATCATCACTGATGAACCAAGCCCTCCCAATATTTTCTCATCGCAGTAAGGACAGTAGAAGCTTTATTTATTTGTGAGAAGAAACATTCGTGTCTTAATGCCTTGATTCGATGTATACATATGTTGTATATTTGATAGGCTGCGACGATGTATTGATTTAAGGAGACAGAATATGGATTGGTGATTTCACAATGAACGAAATCTTCAAAGTGAAAACATCGTGATGTGGAAGACAGGGGAAACCGATCATATGGTACTGTTGACGTCAGCTCTGTCCAGAATGACAGAGAGATGTGTCCAGCTCAACCATCAATCATCAATAGGGACATCCCACATTTCCCTATCACCCTCTGCTTCTTAATCTGCAGACGTCTTGAATGGTCTCTGGTATAAATATCCCCCTTCTTACTGTCGCCATATTCGTTTAGAATATCATTTGACTTCAATTACATAAATAGCTTGTACAAGTTTGCATATTATACGTATATTATCTGGTATAAATATACCATCTTTCACTGTCGCCATATATTCATTTAGAATATCATTTGACTTCAATTACATATAAATATCTTGTACAAGTTTACATATTATGCGTATTATACGTATATTATACGTATATTATCTGGTATAAATATACCACTTCTCATTGTCGCCATATATTCATTTAGAATATCATTTGACTAATTACATAAATATCTTGTACAAGTTTTATTATTATAAGTATAATTGAAATACCATTTCAGAATATTCTTCTGAACATATTTTAGTTAAAAACGTTCACCAAGAACAAAGCTCTAAGTGCACATGATATAAGCAATATAAGCAGATTCTACCGATAATTGTTTTAGAAATCTGGTTGATTAATTCGGCGAAATTACTTGGAAGGTTCACCACTGATGAGAAAACCTTCCCAATTTCTTTTTTCTTATTAGCCAACTAATCGTTGAAATCGGTTTATATTTTAAAAATTCAAAAGAGGTGAATGGTTTCATACTCTGTGAACAGAGAGCAATATATGTGTATTGTTACTTATTATATATATATGTCATAATATTACTCTTCCAGGAATAATAAAGTAAACCTAGAGTCAGCTCAGAGAGAGACAGCAGCGAAAGTCCAGTCATTTGAGACACCAGCGACATTCCAGGGGGCGAGCACAGGGGCGTTACTTGGAACCTCAGGACTAATTAAGACAGTTCGTGATTTTGTGTGCGATACAAACGGCCGGCCGCTCAGCGGTGGGCAGGCCGGCTTTCTCCCATCTCTCTCTCTGGTTGTCAGGGTTCTTCCTCTACCAAATTGTGGTGTGATTATTTCTCTTTCCCCACATTATTATTGTATTGCCACACAAAAAGTCGACAGGATCTTATCACAGAAGAGTCGAAAGGATCTTATCACATATATATATAAATGTTTTATAATATTTTTTCAAGGAAAGTTATAGAAAATTTCGATGTTGATTTGATAGTATAATGTCGAATTGAGAGTATAATAGAAGTATACTAAGAGTATAATATAAGAATTAAATATAATTTATATGAAAGATAGTTGTAAATTAATGATGATTAAAAACAAATTATTAAATATTATTATAAGGGTATCAAATAGTATACAATAATATCAAAAACAAACCTTTTTGATACCTAATTAATAATATTTTATAATTTGTTTTAATCATCATTAATTTTCAACTATCTTTCATATAAATTATATTTAATTCTACTTATGTATATGAATTTGCCGAGAGAGAGAGAGAGGATAATGATCAATAAAAACAAAGTTCACCTCTCCTGTTAAAATAGATATCAAAACTAGGCGCGCTATTTATAGACCTTCCACATAACAAGTAGACTCGTATCGGTGGCTTTGTGACAAGACCAGTTTTGGGAAACTGAGAAATGCCACTGGAACCATGGTTTCGGGATAATGGCATTCGTCAGTTAAGAGAGGGCTTTGATTTCATGAGATCCACAAGGGATCAAATGTTATGTTTCCAATTTTCGAAGAAAATATTTAGTGTAGAGTGGTTAGGCGTCTATTTTGACGGGTGAGGCGATCTTTACCAATGAAAGTTCACTTGACCTTACAGAGGCGATTACTCACTCAGTTAGGTGTTCGCGCGTACATCAGATGTTCCTATATACATTGTACCTTTATTTATTTAGATAAATTTAATTTTTAAAAATCATTATTTATTCTCTCAATATTCAATATTTAAAAAAATCGTTGAATCATTCCATTCTTAATATTTCCTAGTATATTTCTTGATAGAATTGTTGTTTGAGAACTCGGGACAATGAAATCATGGTGTTTTAAATGTGATGTTGAATCCATGGATTGTAAAGTATAGAACGGGGTAGGAACACACTGCACTGTCCAGCCCTCAGTTTATCAGAGTCCCAGAGTAAATCTCCGGATTTTATCTTTCAAGTTCTCCTTACGTCGTCGTGACAAATTGTGGCTGTGGATTATTGATGGAGTTGTTTCTGGGGGACTGGCCTTATCTCTCCCTTTCTTATATATATAGGACAACATAGGTGGGTGGATTACATTGTGGAATCTATGTCATTATCTCTCTTTATCTTTCTAATATTTATACCAACATAGGTGGGTGGATTACATTGTGGAATCTATGTCATTATCTCTCTTTATCTTTCTAATATTTATACCAACATAGGTGGGTGGATTACATTGTGGAATCTATGTCATTATCTCTCTTTATCTTTCTAATATTTATACCAACATAGGACAACATAGGTGGGTGGATTACATTGTGGAATCTATGTCATTATCTCTGTTTATCTTTCTAATATTTATACCAACATAGGACAACATAGGTGGGTGGATTACATTGTAGAATCTATGTCATTATCTCTGTTTATCTTTCTAATATTTATACCAACATAGGACAACATAGGTGGGTGGATTACATTGTGGAATCTATGTCATTATCTCTCTTTATCTTTCTAATATTTATACCAACATAGGACAACATAGGTGGGTAGATTACATTGTGGAATCTATGTCATTATCTCTCTTTATCTTTATAATATTTATACCAACATAGGTGGGTAGATTACATTGTGGAATCTATGTCATTATCTCTCTTTATCTTTCTAATATTTATACCAACATAGGACAACATAGGTGGGTGGATTACATTGTGGTATCTATGTCATTATCTTTCTTTATCTTTCTAATATTTATACCAACATAGGACAACATAGGTGGGTGGATTACATTGTGGAATCTATGTCATTATCTCTCTTTATATCCCTAATATTTATACCAACATAGGACAACATAGGTGGGTGGATTACATTGTGGAATCTATGTCATTATCTCTCTTTATCTTTCTAATATTTATACCAACATAGGACAACATAGGTGGGTGGATTACATTGTGGAATCTATGTCATTATCTCTCTTTATCTTTCTAATATTTATACCAACATAGGACAACATAGGTGGGTAGATTACATTGTGGAATCTATGTCATTATCTTTCTTTATCTTTCTAATATTTATACCAACATAGGACAACATAGGTGGGTGGATTACATTGTGGTATCTATGTCATTATCTCTCTTTATCTTTCTAATATTTATACCAACATAGGACAACATTGGTGGGTGGATTACATTGTGGAATCTATGTCATTATCTCTCTTTATCTTTCTAATATTTATACCAACATAGGACAACATAGGTGGGTAGATTACATTGTGGAATCTATGTCATTATCTTTCTTTATCTTTCTAATATTTATACCAACATAGGACAACATAGGTGGGTAGATTACATTGTGGAATCTATGTCATTATCTCTCTTTATCCTTCTAATATTTATACCAACATAGGACAACATAGGTGGGTAGATTACATTGTGGAATCTATGTCATTATCTTTCTTTATCT